AGGGAGAGACGCAGCGTGAAGAAGCCTCCTGTCGGTGCTCTGGGACCGGGGAGGAGGAGCTCTCAGCAGCACAATGCAGGAATGTGTTCACGGCAGAGCCTCTCAGTCTCAATAACACCAGAAAAAGAGTCGCTAGATTTTCACTAGTTTCTTTTCTGAATAACAGTMTCTAGAGGGTCTGAAAAGTCTGTAAATGTAGCAAGAAAGTCGCTAAATCGGCATCGCTGTGTTCCACAACCTGCCACCTCTCATGTCAGCGAGCAGCGTGTCAGGTCGATTACGTCATACTCTGAAGCGGTCAAATTATCGTACATTATGGGATTTTTGGAATTATTGATCGTACATCGTACAGAGGGCAAAATTATCGTACAAATATTAATTATCGTACACCTGGCAACACTGGTCAAAGATGGCGCTTTCCAAGCCGAATAAAGGTCACTTCCTGTTGTCGGGGGGGCGGGGCTTTGATGATGTCATATGACCGCATGGTTTGGTCAAGGCATGCAACATGGTTGACTCAAGTTTGGTGTGTTTTAGCATTTCTTTGTGAAAGTTACAGCTGTCTGCAATTGTAACAGACGCAAGGAGAGCATTTAAAAAAAATACTTTTTTCACCAAATCATAAACCAGACATTAATTATCTTGTCACTTAACCTTCGTTAAAGAGATTTCTTCATTAGGTGAAATATTATACATGAAAAGATCTGAGCTGTCAGTTTAGTATGCAGGTACGCTACTGTCTTCTCACCAAAACATGGCAGATTTGCTTATTTAAATTTTCTACAGATTTCTTTGTCTGTGCCTTTGTATCATTCTGATCAGAAATGTCCATCTGATGACCAGAATTATCTCACTGTCTCTGACTAAATACTGCTCCATACCCCACACCTACTTTTAGTATTGTACTATTTGTAGGTGCAGAGAGTCTACTGAACAGTTAAAGCTCCCCTCTTAGCACTCAGGACACACACTGATCTGACCTGAGTTACTCAAACAGCTCAGCTTCTCACTCTCTGCACCACCTCTGCATCAGAAGAGGACTTAAATCAAACAAAGGGATAAAGTTTGACTCTTTCATGGATATTTCCTTCTAAATATTGCCGAAAGTGGGGTTTCCCCCCCCACTCTCTTTGCCTTGTTTTTCTTTAGCAGTGTGTCAGTACTAGATTTATGGGTCAAACAGAAAATAAAAATAGGGTGATATAAACCGAGAGGTCCAAGCCAAGCAGTTCTAAATTTATTATAGGAAATACCAGTCAGGGCAAAAGTACTGGACACTCTAAAAAATAAATAAATAAATAGAAGTCATCTGCAGAGATGCTGAGTTAGTACTTTACCAAGAACTTCACATCTACTGTATATAGGCTACAGCTAAGAAGAGTAATGTCCTCTATTCAGGTACTTCCATTGCATCTTGGGCTGCTTACTGCAAAAATAACAAGTGATGCATTTGCTTACACTTCTATAATATAGAGATCATAAACCTGAGATCTAACTTAGTTCCTTCAGAAGAAGGTCGGTTAGGAGCAATGACTTTATTACATGAAAAACAATATAAATAATGTAGCAAGTGCTAAACCATTAATCTGTTTGCACCAAAGAAAAATCAGCTTCTCATACATGTAACATTGATGAACTCTGAAAAACATCCAGTTACATAATGAGGTCAAGTAAAAGTAAAGCAATGTGTTTTCCTTGCCTGTCAGCTGTAGAAAAGTCAGGGCTCTCAGGTGTCACACGCCGGCTCAGACTCGGCCGGTTCTCACGCCACACCTCATATTTCTCATGAAAGGTGTGAAACTATGTTCTGAAAGACGTCTCGTCGGAAAGAATTTTTGCCGAAACCGTGAGTGTAGTTTTCTATCCGGTTTTAAACTCAGCAAGTCAGTAAGTTTATAGTCACCAGTTAATTGGAAAACAGTCTTTGTTTATTATCCTGGATCATTTTCATGATGTGTTACATTAGGCCAAAAACCAAATCTGAAAAACAGACCAGAGTTGTAACATAATAAAGCATTTTTTTTTTCATTTCTGGTTATTATAGTAGCAGAAAATGCAGAATGCATTAAGAAATCATTCATGCTTGTAAATTAATACAGCCTTAGTTCCTCATAAAACCTGTACAAGTTTAATCTTG